TTAAAGGGATAGTTCACCCAAAAATGAAAATTCTGTTATTAATTACTGACCCTCATGTCGTTCTAAACCCGTAAGACCTCCGTTTAGATATGTTTTATGCTTTCTGAGAGCTCTCTGACCCTTCCATAGACAGCTGACACAGAATAGCATACGCTGTTTACGTCCAGCTGATACTCTCCAAAATGGCGCTACAGGGTAATGCGGAGGAGACGAATTGTTGAATAAAGTCGTTGTTATTTTTTTTCTTTTGCACACAAAAATTATTCTCGTAGCTTCGTAAAATTACGGTTGAACCCCTGATGTCACATGGATTATTTTACAGATCTCCTTGCTACGTTTCTGGACTTGGGAACATTTCAGTTGTGTTGCTGTCTATGCAGGGTCAGAAATCCATCAAAAATATCTTAATTTGTGTTCCGAAGATAAACGAAGGTCTTACGGGTTTGAAACGACTCACGAGGGTGAGTAATTAATGACATAAATTAAATTTTTGGGTGAACTAACCCTTTAAGGCCGTCTGTGTCATTGTGCCACACTTCGCTTCTTTACTGTTTTCGTGCTTTTTTCTCTCTCAGAGGGGGAGTGGAAAATACAAGAGGCCAATTTAGTGTCGCTTCAACAGTGCCTCGACTTTTATTTGCACCTTTTCTGAGCCCCATTGCATGTGTGTGTTCAGAGAATTCACATCAGGATTCGACGGAGATGAAGTGTTCCCCTGTGTGGGGCAGAATAAGAACTGTGAATGGAATAGCTGTAGCTCATGTCAGAAACGATAAACTAGCCCTGCCCGGTCTGTGTCGGGTAGGATCACCATACGAGACGTTTTACGCACATTATGATGTTTTTCTTCTCTGTTATAGCTCTTTTGTTGTTTTGAGTTTTTGCTTTAATCATGGGTGTCGAGACTGGAGGGCGGGGCCCTTGTGATTGACAGCTACACCATGTGTTTCGTTTGAATTCCAATAGCGACTGGAGTGATGAAGCAATGAACATGTCGTTTCTTGTATTTCACTGGTATTGGAGGAAAAGTGAACTGATATTAAAATATAACCTGACATTCATCATTTCCTTTGTTGTCATTCCATTGTTGAACGTTCCTCATGTGTTTGCTTTTGCCATGTGTCAAGTTATGAAGTTATATGAAACCTATTATCTTTGTTTGACTACCCTATTATATTCATCACTTAAATATTCTTGCATTAATATGCATGTAGAACCGAACAAATGTAGATTAAAACTACGGTACAGTTAGTTTGGTACTGTATGGCAAGGATTCCCAAACTTTTTTTGTCAGTTAAATATTTGATTTTAAGTTAATATTTCAATAATTTAACAACACATTTGCATGTTTACAGTACTTTAATGTTGATAAATGTTCACATGAAATGCAGGTAAACAAAATATTTCATCTTTTCTTTTTTTTTTTCTTTTTACATTTTATGATTTAATAATTATTTGTATTTCATCAATTCGCAAAGCCCCTGCAGTTTCAGCACAAAACCCAGTTTGGAAAACCCTGCTGTATGGCTTAATATTGAGAGTTCTTTAGTAAACCAACAGTTGTCGACAGTCTCAAAATTATACAAGCTTCATGT